TATATATATATATATATATATATATATATATATATATATATATATATATATATATATATATATATATATATATATATATATATATATATATATATATATATATATATATATATATATATATATCATGGGCTTTCATAAAATTTGCTATAGTCCACCTGTTCTCACAATAATGCAACCAGACTTATTACAGTCAATTTCAGCTGACTTTTCATCTTAAGATTCCGAACTTCATTGCCAAGTTCAAAAGTTCATAATGAAATTCACAAACAGGTTTGTAAACTGGGCATTTGATTGGCTGGTTTGATTTAATAGCCAATCAGAGGCTTTGTTTACAAACCTGTTTGTGAATTTCATTATGAACCTTTGAACTTGGCAACGAATTTGCGAAGTTCGGAATCTTACGATGAAAACTCGGTCAGTTGAAATTGACTGTAATATTTTGAGTTGACACGTCAGTTTTGTGTAACGCAAACTGATAAAAACGTATATCTTCATGGTTATTATACATTAATTTGCACTTATAATAACACTGAAAATATAGCGCAACTTGTTTGTTTTAACATGAAAACAATCATCGGAGAAGGAAAGCATGGAAAGGTAAATTGTAATCCGCACTAAAGTATCAAAAGTAAAGTATATAAACAAGTGTTATAGCTATATTTGTCTAAATGCCATGACACAGAAGAATACTCAAGACAGCAAATGATATAGGTACTGTGTATGTCAGCAATATAAACAACAACAAAAACCAGGCAGACTTGTAGACTCACGCTTTCTGCTCTAGCAATTTCTTGCAAGATGAAGACAATATCAATGGAGCACGATCACATCGTTTTGTTTCTAAATAGATTTGTCAAAATTCATTCACAACATTCGTTCATTCATTCAAAGTTTATTCACAAAATTTATTCACAACATTAACTCACAACATTCGTTAGTGCGTATGAACAACTACCGATGCAGATATCTGAGTTGAATTGGGTTTCATAATTCTTATATAATTTTGTTGTATGTTTATCCAAATGTCAGATGTTCATCAATTAATTGAGTATACAATAGTTAGAACGTTCAATCTAGTCAATGTCAAATGAGGGAATTTTTGTGGGCGGAAATGTTCATTAAAATTTTGCTGTATATACGCGGATATACTTGATTACTACCAATATTTTATTCGTTGCTAAAATTTATTGTAAAGGAAAGGGTTTTTCAATTATTTCGCAAGGCTTTCTTTCTTTTAATAAAGCTGTAAACCTTGATAACATTTCTGAGAGAAGTTTCATGCGGATTCAAGTTTGAGCTAAATTGAATAACGCATGACTTTCGAAGTGCAGTTCTTGTAAAAGGCTACATGTTGCCCCGTGCTATACCCCCGCACCGTTTGGGCAACCGGGACAGCTGCCCCCGTGGCTGCATGCCCCATGCATGTGTGAACGATATGTAGTGTCTCATGAGAATTGGGGTTTAATTAGAAATTTAAAGAGAAAAACTGTCTGAATTAAAAATAACGGTAATTAAAAAGAAACTAATAAAATCGTCATAGTTTTGAACTTACTTGATGAAAAGACTTGTTCAGGTTCTGGGCAGACCTTAAAGAAAAGTTTGGTTTTAAAAACGTTACATAAAAATGGCGATCACCTGCTGGATTTTAATTCATGCAAGACAATGCAAATAAACGTATTGTGTGATGTTTTCTACAACCACAAGTCGCTAATTAAACTATAATTGAATGTTGGATATTGGATGTAAATATCTCATAGCCATTATTACATTTTAATCATATTCACGCAGTTTAATTATCTTTCGGCATGGACTTTATTAAAAACAATATTCGACTGATAATTCTGTGATGTGAAACGTTTTATAACATGTACAATAGAGTCATGTTTTCGCCCGCTACTCTGGTTTTTAGTCTGGATTTGAATTCGTATACAATTTTAATAATACATAAGACATTCTCTCTCATGCATATGAAGGTATGACTTAATTATAGCATTAGGGCAACTCTCAAAGCAAGTCAAGAAGAGGAAACTGCTTTCTACTTTATTTTTGTCTCTGCAGAATGCACTAAACACGATGGAAAATTTCTATTTTTGTAAGTCTGCTTAAAATTGTAAATGATAATATGGAGGAACTGCTATGGCCCAACTATACATATTACACACGTAAGAGGATTAATTGTCACGTAAAACGTCTTACCCGTTTAATAATATCAAGATGGTTAAACTCCAGACTACGTGTTCCTTCGTTGGATGCCTCATCAAGTGTCTTTTTGCTGAGCTCGCATAAACCTTTGCCGATGCCAGAGATTTTGTAATTTACTGACGCACATAAGTTATCCCTAAAGCAGTGAGTTGCGCATTCGTGCTCCCATTTTGTCTTTATAGTCCGAAAAATATAATTTGCCAAGTATTTTTCCTTATGTTTGCGATACACAGCTTCCATTGAACATTCGCTTTCCTGCAGTAGCTTTAAGATCAAGATTACCACATATAGGCTAAATAAGACCGACATTATATCAGATGGACCTCGAGCTATATGCTCAAAATTTATAAATAACTGCCTGTTTGATGATAGGCTATAATACTCCATTATAAGCAGGTGCTTTATAAATAATTTACAAGCAGTTATTTTTTAGTATCAGGCCCAATCAAAATCATTAAACTTGTCATTGAAAGAATCAAAATACACTGAAGGAAACAAATGTATAACTAAAATTTTAGAGTCACGAGACCCGTTTCGAGTGTAGATTAAAAGTATCGTGCGTTAAAGTAGTACATTAAACGTAACACATTGAACATGATTTTTAAAGCCAACAAAAGTCAACCGAGTTTATTAATAACCGTATATAATATAAAATATATGGTAGATTTTGTAAACAATTTCTAACTTTAATTAATAATGTTGTTTTATATGAAAGTTGCATGAGCACTTTTATATTTCTTATGAATTCTTCAAATTATTTAATGTGAACAAAAGAGTTTATATTTCATTTTCCAAAGCCAGTAGGAAGCCATTTTATAATGTAGCTATATATGAAATCTGCTGTGTTGGTGTAATGTACTCAGGTGAATAAGATGTTTGTGTGATGTTACTCTGAGTGTATATCCACACCGAGCAGGCTTGAAAAATATGCCTGGCCACGGCGGGATTCGAACCTACGACCTTTGGAACACTAGCCCAATGCTCTTCCAACTGAGCTACGCGGTCAGGTCGGTTCGCGTATGCGATATTTCGGAACTGAGTCTAGTTCCTTCGATATCAGTGTAATATAATAATCATGAAATCTGCTGTGTTGGTGTAATGTACCCAGGTGAATAAGATGTTTGTATGATGTTACTCTGAGTGTATATCCACACCGAGCAGGCTTGAAAAATATGCCTGGCCAGTGGCACGGCAGGATTCGAACCTACGACATTTGGAACACTAGCCCAATTAATGCTCTTCCAACTGAGCTACGCGGTCAGGTTGGTTCGAGTATGCGATATTTCGGAACTGAGTCTAGTTCCTTCGATATCAGTGTAATCTAATAATCATGAAATCTGCTGTGTTGGTGTAATGTACTCAGGTGAATAAGATGCTTGTGTGATGTTACTCTGAGTGTATATCCACACCGAGTATATAGGCTTGAAAAATATGCCTGGCCACGGCGGGATTCGAACCTACGACCTTTGGAACCACAGAATAGTAGCTATATATATTAAGAAAAATGAGAAAGGAGATTAAAATTAAAATTTAAAATTTCTCAATTTAGAAATTCTAAAAAATATGCTTTATGTATCATAAGTAGATTCTATATGGTTTTAGTATATAAAGTGTTTCGGACCAAAGGACGAGTTTTTGCGGTCTTGAATCACGAAGTGGTTTTTAAATTGCCTGAAAATACATGCAATACTTATATTACTTGAATTCATCTAAGTTGGTGCATGGATTTCGGTAATTACTGAGCAGCAGATGATCAAACTTCAGAAATGTTGACACTTTTCTGCAGAAGCAAGAAAATTAAACTGTATATCTTATTTGCACCAGATACAAGACAAAAAGTGCACATATAAACAGGGCTGTCGCTAAAGAGGGATGATGGGGATGTAATATCACCCCCCTGAAAACCAGTTGTCACTCTACGCCCTTTTGTTGACAAATGCAACCACCTCTATCAAGCTGCCACATCTACTAATAAACGGTACTATAACTGGTCTTTTCTATTTTGTTTTAGCTGCCTAATTTCTAACTTTACTTATTTAGGCACAATTTGTATAAAACAACCTTTTTATGAAAATATCGCCAATTTAAGCTGACAATCGTTTCCATGCCCTTTTTGTGTTCTTTTATCAATTTGTGGGGACAGTTTTCTTAAGTAATTATTTATCAACTATATATGCTCATGTTCCCGATGATTTAGAATTATTTATAGAAGAACATTTCGTCATACCATGGCCTACTGCCATAGTTCCATTTAGCAGATGGTGATCAACTGACAGTAAATTTACGCGCAGGGCCATCGCGATGTGGTTTAAGCGGGGGTATATTATTATTATTTAGGTGTCGGTATATTATTATTTATGACAATGAAGTATATATATATATATATATATATATATATATATATATATATATATATATATATATATATATATATATATATATATATATATATATATATATATATATATATATATTATTTAACGTAGGTATCTTAGACATACAAATAATTTTTCTCTCTTTTGTAGACTGCAAAAGAACCCTTTTAAACGAATTTGTATTCCACTCTGTTTTTCTGCAGCACAAGTATACATCCAAAATGCTACGTAATCTAAGCTTGAGAAAACAATGAATATATACAATAGGCAGATATTATTACAAGTGCGACAGTTCTTTTAAAAGTGTCAGAATATGCAATGCATTTTAATTAACTGCATTATTCTCCAATACGATATACAGGTCAATATTTTACTGCACCAGTATATAACCAAATGCACGTTTCTCTAAGATTTTGTCAGCACTTGCAGCACACACAACACGGTTACCACAAGCCATTGTTGCATATTTGTCGCAACCGTGGTATTTTGCACCAAAACCTATCCAAGAATCACAAGTGGAACATTCGTTTTCATTATTGGCCACCAAGCCAATTCGCAGCTGCATATACTCTTTGGTAGGTGACTTGAGGTTGATATTAAAACCTCGTTTGTTACAGTTGGCCTGTAAGTGGAAACCAGTGATTAACGATATAATCAAATCACGAGAAAAGGATGTTTTTTTGTATTTTCATCTGCGATCACACTGTACAGCGAACTTGCTTCGTAATCTAACATCATCCATTTTCTGTCACCATTGACGGTCATACCAAGACATATTTTCTTGAAAGGTGTGTTCCAATAAGAGGGCAGTTTACTTTCTTTCTCTGTTAGTCCTTCAAGTCCATCTTCAACTGCATAACTTTCCCTATTCGTCCACCAAGGTGAATCATATTCGAATCTGGTCTGAAAAACATAAATAGTGCAGTAGAATATGATTTGATTGATCCATTGATCGACTGCATGGGTTAGATTACTCAAATATTACCTTGTCTCCATCGACTTTCAAGATTAGTGTCCAACCTCCACCTCCACATCCGGAAATGTCAGTCATGTGACAATATACCTTATATGGTGACGAAGTGACATTTTCTTGCAGAGTATAGGCACCATTAGGTGAGAATCTGGAAAATATAAAAAGCAATTCGTCCATCCATTACAATGATTTAACGAGACCAAGAAATGGTCATCATGCACATACACATGTACAAAAGCATCCATTCTGGCATATAGGCATGCCTAGGGTTTGCAATGATATCAGGCAAAGGATTTTAAGTTGATCTATATATATAGTCAGAATTAAAAAAAACTCTCCTAAATCTGTAATATAAATGATTCTAAAATTTTTGAAGATATTTCAATTTGTTTGTATGTAAATGAACTGAATCTATGACGACATAGCAGGGTACAACTTTTGAATTGCTTAAAATTTCGGACAACATTGAACAAAATTTTCAGATTAAAAACTAGATAGCTTATGTATATAATTAAATTATAATCGTAAGAATTTGAAACAGAACGGAACAGGGTTCGTGCTACTCCTTAAAGTCCTTAAATACTACTCGAATAAGTTTTAACTTTTCAAGGGTGCTTGAAAAGCTCCTCAAATTTGCAGTTTATTTACCCCTTACTTAAATTATTTTGCTAAATAGTAAGTGAAACCATATAGTATTAACTTTTGTTAGTTGCCATAGGTATTTCGTATAGTGCAAAAACCGGCTTTAGAAACAAATCGTTGATAGAAATTCGTCAATATTACACCAAGTATTTCATTTGGAAGCTAGACTGGTGAATATAGACCGTGGGCTCGATCTGGGTTTGATTCTTCTATGTTTTCATTTTCCTTGAAAGAAAACACATCAAACACTCCTTAAAAATGCTATTTTACTACTTAAAAATTATTCCTTGAATTTAACTTTTCAAGACCAGCACGAACCCGCATGGAAATAGAAAGTGCCCAATCATTTATGGATGGCTGAAATTCATTTGCCAATGACATCATTTTTCTAGACATATCTATCATACAAAGTGAAATATTTTGAAAACGATGACAGATTTTGAAAAAGTGAATAATTATAGCTTATGTAATACAGATTTAAAATTTATTTTTAACTAGATCATTGCCGCTGTCCTGTAATTGGTACTCTTACTTTTATATGCTGAAAAGCTTGTTATCAGGTTTTTCCCAATTGATTGTAGTCTTACACCCGATTAATTCATTAGTGGAGGAATTATTAAATTTCATAAATTTGATATTTTAACAAGCCTACACATGCAGACAACCGCGGGCAACAACAAACGAACACACACATAACATACTTTTTTTTGCGTAGTAGATCTTGGCAAGATTGGAATCCAGTCTTTTCTAAAAGTATTTTAAAAATATCAATTTAATTATCAAAAATAATCTACACTGAACAAGGCTGTCTCCAGTATAGAATATATAACGTGTATGAAAATGCTACAATGCGACATTATACATTATACATGAGCAAGGCTTATATTATACCTAACTCTTTTGCTTTCGGGTCAACCTGTAACGAAAAGTATATATATTTTAATACAAATGTGTTTTTCTCAAATTATGTAGATTTTAAACATAATAGTAGTAGCTAAAGAGGCGCCAATATATATTTTTTTAATATTTCGACGTTATATTTTCATTATGTTATTTCCTCGGAAATTCAAACTATATTACGTTAAATTTTGTAGTAATTACAGCCAATTGCGGAAATGAATCTGAGAAGTGTCAGCTTGACATCGTAGACTGATGTATTGGCAATGCTTAAATTTGATACGCGCGCGTTATACAATTTTATTTTAATTAAGTAATATACATAATTAATACATATATCTTTGTACTGCTTATCAGTTAAAGTCTGTCTAAAGTCTTTCCCAATGCGATTCTCAAGAATTTGAATTTGCATGGCTTCCCGCATGCGGACAGTGTATAAAACCAGTAACTTGTTGAACGAAAACGAACATGCATTTTAAAGTATATAGCCCCTATATATAGGTATAAAATGCTGTTTTTACGAAAACAACGACATTTTATTTTTGCGACACCCGAGTTCCTAATATATTTGTTAGTCCCGACACCAGTTCCTAATAAGTGGCCATGCAGTAATCAGTTCCTTAATTTATTTTTGTGGAAAAAGAATGAAAGACAGATATATTTCGACTGGAATATATATATATATATATATATATATATATATATATATATATATATATATATATATATATATATATATATATATATATATATATATATATATATATATATATATACAAAATAAATATTTATATTATTTTGTTGTGTGAATAATCCCCGCCTAGAATATAGCTTTGCTAAATGCGGGTGGGTTATTTAATATTTGCTTTTGTATTTCTTCTATTTTTAATAAAATTGTAGAATTGTAAAAATTATATAAAGATTGACGTCAGCAGGCTTATTGTGACGTAGTTTGTGGAGGAAATCCCGAAAGCTCAGAGTTGTTTACTACGAGTTGTTTACTACGAGTTTTTTAAGAGCCAAAAGAAGCCAGTATTATGGTAAGTTTGAAGTGAATTTTTCTATATATAGGCCAAATGAGTATTCATATTCGTCCTATTTAAATTTTATTTGTTTTTATATTAGATTGTACATTATTTTACTGTCAACATTCAGCAAATTGTTCGCCCGGTTTGTTTACATATTTCGTTGCTAAAAAGTATAATTTTTCTTTTTTGTTACTCAAATTCATCAGTCTATAATCATCAGAATGGCCCCAATCAAGCTGTATACAGCAATACACAGGCTTAGGGACCGTTCATTATTTATGCCTCAGGGGGGCACCGAAGAGAAATAAAAATTGGCTACTTTTTTTTAATTGCCCAACCATTTTCGAAGTATTATTTTCTTTTACCCAACCCTTATGCAACTCAAGATTTGTATGGTTATAAACAGCTTGTTTTTGATATATAAACTACTTGTTTGATACATACACATAACATTAAATTAAAAAAAAAAGCCGTGGGAAAAATATTTGAAACCTTGTGCCTCATGAATGGAAAGGAAGAAGTATTTTAATGATGTTATGAAGGTGATATATGAATCCGCATTCACACATAAACAGAGTCAGTTCCTGACGTACCTAAATGGGCAAAGGCAATTTAGATGGGATACAAAGAAAAGAATTGAGAAGTTACAGTATGTGATCAAGTCATATGAGGAAAGGGGTTCTTCCAAAAGAGAATATATCTGTTGGGAAATACAAAACAATGCCAGATAATCCATCATGCATTAAGGGATGTTAGTTTTGCTAACAGGGCAGATAGTCACATTAAAGCTACAAGGAAAGCTGCTGAGGGGCTTCTGGAGCAACTGCAGAACAGGAAAGTCCAGCTTTTTGACAGCCACATGCATGCATGGAGCTGGAGAAGTGGGCAGAAAATGAAAATAAAGTTGTAAGCCAATTCATTGAAGAAGTATCTGAGTTGAAGTCCAAGGTAACTATGATTTGGGACGATGTTGCAAATGCAGCTAAACAGCTCAACAAACGATATTCTAGTGCAGATCTCTTTAATTTTGAATAAAAAAGGAAACGACGGCGAGTGAAAGAGCAAAAATGTAGCAACAGGAAAAAGTCAAAGATAATGTCAGTTCGAAAGGCCCAGGATTTGCTTAAAAGGAGTGGTTTCGCCAATGATGTCATTGAGAACATTTGCCCAACTGGGAAAGAGAGGGGAAGAACAGTTATTAGTCTTGAAGAACTGTTAAACCCTGATAAGAAGAGCATTTTGTACTTAAAATATATTGGTGCATTACAAGACTCAGCAGATGCTGTACTGTCAGATGTCAGTGTAACAGACAGCAGTAACTCTGACTCATCGGACTCGGATGAAAATTAGAGATTCAGATACTGTACATCAGACCTGAAGTTTATTTCCAACCGGTGAACAAGATATTGCATGTGTTTAAACATATATTTACATAGTTTTATAAAACAATTTTCGCTGTTGCTTTAACCTTGCACTACAGTTTTGAAAGGTTAATATTTTTTTGCTTCCCACCCTTTCTGGAACCAGGTCAATTTTTCCTTTACCCACCCTTTCTACACACCAAATTATTGGTTACCCACCCCATTTCTCTTCGGTACGTGCCCCCCTGAGGCATAAATAATGAACGGTCCCTTAGTGATCGTGCAAAGAGGTGCATAAGTGAAGTTAGACATAAGTCTATTATTTTTATCGATATAGTTAAAGTGAACATATATGAGAAGTAACTTTTATCAATCGTGTATAACACTTTTCGGGTCTGTGGGTCAATAATCTTTACTCTATAACATGATGATTTAGAATGATTTTATATATTTTGAAAGTGTACATTGCTTGGAAATGTATTGCACCCTACTATAAAGCTATTCTAAAGCAAACTTTATAGGTTTTTCTGTCAACTATATCAATAAAAATTATAGACTTATCAGTCTTACGAGTCATTGTGTACGTTTATGGGCGCTTACAAGATTTGCATGAGTGGCATTAACAAGAAGACATATGATAATTTCCGATTCTATTTCAAAATTATTACTAAACCTATGCTGTAATTACAAAATGAGCTGGTATTTATATTTTTTATAATTACATGCAGTAGGTTTGCGTTGCTAATGATTTGGGAATCAAATCGAAATGTTACGGTATATCGTGTCTTCTTCTTGTCTGACTAAAATTTTCAGCACACAGGTGCTTATGCATTCGACCTGTGTTTTGTATTGTCAGCTGAAAATAGATTCTGAAACAATCGAAATGTGCACCTTTTAACAAAAATGTGCCTTTAATAACACAGTTTCCCCTTGGCTGTATATTTAAAAGAAATTCTGTTAATTAAGAGCTACATGATCAAAAACAGTGAGGTGGCATGTATAGTTATTCAATTTCTTCAGTTTGTCAGGCAATGACGACGAGAGTACAACATTCAGTTTGTCATGCAATGACGACGAGAGTAGAATTATATTTGGATTTTCTGTAATTGATGCTGATTTTCCGCCTACCTTTTCAATTTTTGTTGCATGCCCATATATGGGCATGCAACTTTCATATAGCTCTAAATTTCGTGTCGTGTTGTGCGTTGTACTGGCGGTGGTAAATCACGTGATAGATTAGTAAAATACGACAAATACCGAGTTTTTCCGACGAGCATTTTCATGTGATGTGAAAGTTGAAACAATAAATATGCACGCTTTTGTTCACGGCTTTCGTCGAAAATTTACGTAATTTAGCGCCTTAGAAAAATAGATCGAGGTAGGTAAAGCTTTGCTGTTTTTAATTTAGCTTATATTCTGTTAGTTGTTATTATTTTGCTGCCGTTGTGCTCGCACTGATATTTATTTATCAATTATCGTGCGTTTTAATATGTTTGTGAAAGGCCACGCTATCAAAATTCTAATTTTCTCTATGCTCAAATTGAAACGAAGCCATTGTGCTAGCACTGATTATATTGTGTGTAAAACTTCAAATTTCAAAATTACATCACATTCTGTAAATAACATGAACTATTGTCTACTGAAATTTAATAATACATTATTGAACGAAATAGCATTCTACTTCGATAGTTTCAATCATAGTCGAGGACTCGAGATCATAGTTTAATAATTATTTTCAATCTATTATAGTAATTCACGGTTTCCACGGGTTTTTATACTGTCAGTAAGCCACAATAAACCTAAATTTGCAGTAAAATATAAACATTGTTTACTTCGAATAGTCAATCATGCCAATATCAGTGATAAAACCTTGACCTGTTGACCTTGTTATTACCGTCCCTTGCAACTACAGATGAACAGTCGCGAAAAGTTTGAAAAAGTTTTGTTATTTTGACATAATAGCTATTTTTCAATAAATATATTGATATTAAACTTATTGAATCAATATTTTAAATTTCAGACTAGTTGTACAAAAATTTATAAGCGGACCATAATTTGCGCATCTGATCATATACTATAACATGTTAATTTGCGCAATATAAATATTAAATATTATTATTATTATAAAGGCGGATTTCCACTCAGTGCAACATGTCGGCCGATCAATATTTTGCGATCACTTTCTTTTGAAATACAACTAATCAAACGCAACAGATCAGGTTGACTCAACACGTTTCAAAAGAAAGTGATTGCAAAAAGTTGATCTCCCGATATTTTGCACTGAATGGAAGTCGGCCTGAATGCAACTCTCCTCTGCAGAGGCTTTAGTCACAGAACAGATACCAGACCAGAAGAGACCCTCCTATGTGTTTTGGCTTGGGAAAGCGTCCGAAATTTTTTACGTGCTATGACGCCATCCTGGAGTGCACACGCAGGATGGCGTCATATGATGGTGTATTTTCACGTCAGCACTCGTAAATTTCGGACAAGATATTGTCTGAGTGACACTTCTGGCCCAGTATCTATTTTGTGCATTAGTTGTCTTATGATTTATTACGATGAGATACATTTCACTACACTTTACATGGCGGATCCTGAAACACGGGCGAAGCCACTGGGCGAAGTAGCGTGGGTGGAAAGCAAAAGCCTCTGTGGAGGAGAGAGGGCATGCAACATGTACGCACTGCGTACCTATTTTTAGGATATGATATTAATTTGAAAATGTATTTTCTCGAACATTCGAAATCGTTTATATAATCCCATTAAATAAATATAATATGTCTAGCTCACTTGTATAAAATAATATTCCTTTCCCGTTTAATAATATCAAGATGATTGTACTGTGAACCAGGCTTAAGCAAGCGACGTTTTTGTCAACACGGACGTCACCCGAAAATTATACTGGTGGCTGTATATGAAATTCTAGAACTTCCATCAACGTGAAAGTTAAGGTAGTATAGACCTTTGATGAGAGGTGTTGTTACAGCCCAGCATTTCATCCGAGATTAATCAAGAGTAGCCGGTATATGCATGAACCTGTGCTATAATGAAACAGGAAACATGCACTCTTCTCATGTACATGTGCATGCATCATGCAGTGTCACTGAATCTAAATTATTCAGTCGGACAACACCGCTAATATATTATACAGAATTCCGATTCTATATTAGCCTACATGGGTGAAATTAGGTGCCATCAACCTTATAATGCTAGCAACTGTGAAAAACCGGAAAAGCATAATTTTACTTACTGGTTTAATTATAGCAAGATGGTTGAATTCTGGGTTATGTGTTTTTTCATCAGCATCGGATGTCCCTTGAAATGTCTTATTGTTGAGCTCACACAGACCTTTACCAATTCCAGAAGTTTTGTAATTAACTGACGCACATGATCTATCTGCAACGCAATACATCCCACATTCTAGTTCGATCTCTGCCTGTTTTGTTTCGATGACATGTTAAATCTTGTTTGCAGAATTGTATGTTAAATCTTGTTTGCAGAAATGTATGTTTGCAGAATTGCATGTTAAATCTTGTTTGCAGAATTTTTATATCAAGCTATTACAATATTTTGACTGCAAGCAATGAGCTGTCCGCCATCTTGGATTAATTCTGTTAGCTCTCAGTGAGTTATAGCCAGTGAACTGTAATAACACTGGAACGCTAACTGCAGGTAAACATGCCCATACTTGCCCGAAGCCAAGATGGCGCTTCTCGCAAGCTCAGCGAGCAATAAATTAACTTTCAAAAGGACTGGGGAGAGTTTCGAGGA